CCCAAGTTAAATATCCCCCCCCCTTCCCTCCTCCCCCCGTCGCTCCATGAGCGCGCGCGTGTGTGTGTGTGTGCGCACCCAGCTCACCAAGAACCCTCAGTCTGACTGACAGCAGAACACACACTCACACACACACACAATGAGACCCCCCTCCCAACACACACACCCACACACATCCCACCACAACAGCTCTAGATTTATCACAGGCTGCTACAAAACAGCAACCAGAAAACACACATTTGGGATTTTCCATATCTTGCACATTCCGTGACACTCGTCTTGCATAAATAATGTTCAAGTGGAAACCTTATAATTCATTCATACCACATTCAAATTACACTCTTTGCTGGATGCATCAGTCATCTGGGGCTTTTGCACATATTGGCACATGATGCATATGTGCATTTTAATGAATAATCATTTGAATGCTTTTCTTTCCCCTAATAAAGCCATTCTTTGCTAGTTTGACATGAGTTGAGCCACACACACACACACACACACACAGGCGACATCATTTTTCCCAAAGAAAAAGAAAAACAAAGTGAAGTGCTTAGGAATCCAATAAGTGGTCCATTAAAGCGCCTCTGGTTTGTGTGGAGGTTTGTGGATTCGGCTTCGACCTTTGCTATTGCCACTGGCAGGAACCAACACTCATGAACTCTCGGGGTCACCAAATAAACGGCCGCAATTAAGTGTTTAAGCGGGCCACATATAGAGACGCGTCACCTCTCACGGTGCCAGAACTCAAGCTCGATGTGTAGCCTGATGTTCAAACGACACGCACAAATGCAGCACACCATCACTATCAGCCGAGCAGCTCACAGGTGATCTCAAAGAGCGGAGTTGAACTTTTCAAACCCAAATCTGACTGTGCTTTCAAAATGCACATGTAAAACCTTCATTAAGTCATTAACAATAATATATGACCTGTCAAATTATTTGAATGTACATTCATTCATCTTTTGATCACTATTCAATAATGCTCAAAAGAAGCCATATTATTTGTTACGGTTATTAATGAGCGTGTTATTTTAAGCGTCTCTCTCTGTTCTCAAGCTGTCTGTGGTGGATTGCAGAGGCTGGAGGGATATCCCTCTGTGAGCTGTGGGCTTCATGACATGAGGAGTGTGAGGCATGTAAAGCAGGGCCCCAGCAGTCTGTGGATCGGTGGCAGACTGTCTGGCTGCGGTTCTGCGGTTCAGCTGCCGGTGTCACGCCGCATTCTGACCGCTAGAGGGCGCGAGCGAGCGCGGCTCACTGACGCTGCGCAGGAACTATCAGCTCACCTTCATTCAGCAGCTAGAGACGGCTCGAGATTTTGGCTCATATATAATCAACATTCAGATTTCAACGAATGAGCTTCTGATGTTATGCAGTAGGCTATATCATTTTAAACAATGATCTGATAATAAATGTTATTATTAAGTGTTACAAACGATAACGTAAAATAAACGAGGTTCATCAGTTTCACTATTGCAAAACAGTCTGGTTAAAAAAAAAGACAATAATATGCCTCAACTGCATCCGTTTACCTTTAATCATTGTCTCAACAGACTTCTGCTTTTTTCTGATTTAAAATAAAACTCTCAGATACCTGATTTGAGCATCTATGTAGATAGACTAGTAACATAATATGTTCCGAGAACGTTTTGCTAACGTTCCCGTAAAAACGTAAACGTTTTTTTTTCTCGGAATGTTCAAAAGTTGCGGTTTTTAAAATGTTTTCGAAACCTTTTTTGCTGGTTTTAAGGGAACATTCCATTTTATCATTATGCAAACATCATGGGAACGTTATTTTTGAATGTCCTCTGAACGTTCTTAAACATGTGGTAACATTTAAAAAACGTTAGATGAACATCCAACTAAAACGTTTTAGGAAAAAAAATTTAATGAATGAAGTATAAACAATGGTTTTAGGCTAACATTTTAAGAACATTATTAAAGACCAGAAAACTCTGAATGAACGTTCTAGTAATGTTACTGGAAGAACGTTTGTTCATAACTTGGAGAGAACCTTGCCAGAACGTTAGCCAAAGTTTTGAGAACATTAGCTAGCTAGCTGGATGGATGGATAGATGGATGGATAGATAGATATGAAATATGTTCTGAGAACATTTTGCTAATGTTCACATTAAGTTATAAAAACTTAATTTCTGAATGTTCTCTGAACATTCAAAATGTCCAGTTTTTTTAATGTTTTAGAAACATTGTTTCTTGGTTATACGAACGTTAAGGGAACATTCCATCGAATCAGTTCGCAAATATCACGGGAATGTTACTTTTAAATGTTCTCTCAATGTTCCAATAAAAAGGAATCACATTTAACAAACATTAGACAAACGTCCATCTAAACGTTTCAGGACAAAATGTTCAATGAATGTATAAATAATGTTTTTGTGCTAACATTTTGAGAACATTATTTAAAAAAAAGAGAACTGTAAACAAACATTCGATTAATGTTACTGGAAGAACATTCCCAGACAGACAGAGAGACATGCAACGTCCCTCATCTGCTGTATGAATACATATTCTGCTTTGTAATTCATTTTCTCTCATTCCATGCTCAAAGTGACACTGTTGTTTCATCAGAGTAAACAGTGCGCTCTTATTTCGCTCCGTGTCTCTCTGGCTCAACTGCGTCTCTAACTGAAAGCAGATGCTGGAAGCAGCATTGAGAAATGCGCTGCCTGTTTGAAGATTTCCTCTTTATTCTTTCACTGTACGCCTTGTAAACAGCGTCAAATTGACGGATCTCTCTGGCGACAGCGATGGAGGCCGGTGGTGATTGTCTCGTGAGGTGATGTCATACCTTACGTTCAGCATACGGGCGAAACAGCGTTTGATTGACAGCGCAGACTGTGAGGGTTTTCAGTGACACAGCATGGGGACGCTTCCCTCTAAATGTGTGTGTGTGCGACTGAACGCACAGCTCCAATGCACTGCGCTTCTATTCAGGCCTACCGTGTGGTGCAGAAAGGGGAGGAGAGGACACAGGAAGAAAAGAAAAGTGGAAGAGGGGGTGGGCAGCAGGTCAATAATGATCTCTCGGCCTCGTTTAATTGGGATGCGGTCAGTGTGTGTGTGACTTCACTGCATTCCAGCTTGATTACCCTCATTCATGTTGCCTAAAATTAAAATGAATGCGAGAAAATATCCTGCTGGGATGGAGAGCGGGGAAAAGGAAGAGACCCAGGGAGAGGGCATTCCCAACGCCAGGGGGGCGGGATGACATCACATTCCTGCAGCCCGGGTCCTATTGCTGTAATTCAGTCCGTCCCGGGGGCCAAATGTGGACAGTTGAGGTTGAGCTACATTTACGTGCACCCGAATAATCCCATCGGATTGAAAGGCCTTCATGTAAACACCTCAATCGATTTGGGATGCGTTTCCCAAAAGCCAACTAGAGTCATTACTAACACAGTTCAACGAGTCCCAAAGTTCTCACAAACAGCATCGCAAATTTCGCGAAAGCTTTCAACTTGTGGATAGAGTTTCTTGTTAGTATGATCTGGACTCTCTGTTTTTGGACACAAAAAGCATGCTAACATGTTCAATATATACACATTTTAGCATGTCAACAATCAGAGCCATTTTTGAAGAGTTATTACTCCTTAAAGGGTTAGTTCACCCAAAAATGAAAATTAGCCCATAAATTACTCACCCTCAAGTCATCCTAGGTGTATATGACTTTCTTCTTTCAGACGAATCCAGTCGGAGTTATATTAAAAATTGTCTTTGATCTTTCAAGCTCTATCGTTGTACTCAGCGGGTGTTGCATTCCTTCGGTTCAAAAGACGTGAAATAAAAAGCACCCTTCCAGTCCTATTGTTGAACCAATGTGGTTCAACCGACTGAGACGTGACCATGTTTGTTGCGGGAAACAACTGCAACTAGATAGTTAATGATGCATCCTATTATGGTAGTTAAGCGGGAAACGTACCCGTTTTTTTAAAATATGAACTTGAATCCTGAACAAAATATATCAGTTTTCCACAATATTAAGCTGTTTTCAACATTGATAATAATCAGAAATGTTTCTTGAGCAGCAAATCAGTATATTAGAATGATTTCTGAAGATCATGTGACACTGAAGACTGAACTAATGATGCTGAAAATTCAGCTGCGCATCACAGGAATAAATTACATTTTACAATATATCCACATAGAAAACAGCTACTTTAAATTGTAATAATTTGTCACAAAATTACTGTTTTACTGCACTTTCGATCAAGTTAATGCAGCTTTGATGACAGAAGAGATTTCCAAATAATTAACAAATCTTACCGACACCAAATGTTTGAACGATAGTGTCTATATATTGTGTTTATACTCGCAATCAATGACTATCAATAGTTTTGCATTGCTTTTACTATTGCTTCTGATTGGATTAGGTTTGGTTCAAACTCTACTGAAGTCTTTTTATGGAGCAACTGAACAGGAAAACGCTGCTGAAAAACGTAAACATGAAACAGTTCTGAGTGGTTGTGACTGTTTGATGTCATGCAGTATTTTCACTTTTTGGGGTGGCGTCTGGTTAGCACACGCTGTCAGGATAACCGAACCACACTTAGCAACTTAATCCCACCGAGCCCTTCAGATTCATCTGCTATCTGTCCTGGCTGATGTTTGCCGTCACACTCACGGCTGTGTGAGGTGAAAGTGTAACTCTGAGGAGTGTGTGTGTGAAGATGCCGATCGCTCTGAACACATACTGTGAAATGCCTCAGTGCAGCGACAGCATGCAGAACAGCACAGGACAGAGACGCTGTGTAGACTCAGAAGATGTCCTGAATATTGACTCACACTGGTGATCTAATCAAAAGACATAAACGAGCAGCTGCGGACAAACACGGAGAAAACAAACATCCTTAGCACAAAGAGAGAGAGACTGCTAGAGTGTCTTTGGTCAGTGATT